TCGCGGGTTCCCGGATGCTCCAACATCTGCGATTCGAAAACTCCCCCCAGCCCCGCCCCCCGCCCCCAGCCCCGCCCCCCCCCAGCCCCGCCCCCAGCCCCAGCCCCGGCCCCGCCCCCAGCCCCGCCCACCCCGCCCTCAGCCCCGCCCCCCCGCCCCCTCGCCCCGCCCTCAGCCCCGCCCCCGCCCCCAGCCCGCCCCCAGCCCCGCCCCCGCCCCCAGCCCCGCCCCCGCCCCCCCCCGCGCCCCCGCCCTCAGCCCCGCCCCTGCCTCCAGCCCCGCCCCCCGCCCCCCGCCCCCAGCCCCCGCCCCCAGCCCTCAGCCCCGCCCCCAGCCCCCCCTCAGCCCCGCCCCCAGCCCCCAGCCCCGCCCTCAGCCCCGCCCCCAGCCCCCAGCCCCGCCCTAGCCCCGCCCCCAGCCCCGCCCCGCCCCAGCCCCGCCCCCAGCCCGCCCTCAGCCCCGCCCCCCCCGCCCCCGCCCCAGCCCCGCCCCCAGCCCCGCCCCCAGCCCCGCCCTCAGCCCCGCCCTCAGCCCCGCCCTGGGCCCCGCCTCCGGCCCCGGCCCCGCCCCCTGTGACAAGCACTGCCCCACAAACTGCTCAACACCAACAGACATCAAAAACTGCATTGACAGTGCCAGTGTTGGGTCGCACCTGTTGCGCAGGCGTGTTTGGGGTCGGCAGTGCCCCGTTGTCGCCTGTGTTTGGGGTCGGCAGAGGCTGTTTGGTCGCTCCCGTGTTTGGGGTCGGCAGAGGCTGTGTTTGGGGTCGGCAGAGGTGGTGTGGAGGCTGTGTTTGGGGTCGGCAGAGGCTGTGTTTGGGGTCGGCAGTGCCTGTGTTTGGGGTCGGCAGAGGCTGTGTTTGGGGTCGGCAGAGGCTGTGTTTGGGGTCGGCAGAGGCTGTGTTTGGGGTCGGCAGTGCCTGTGTTTGGGGTCGGCAGAGGCTGTGTTTGGGGTCGGCAGTGCCTGTGTTTGGGGTCGGCAGAGGCTGTGTTTGGGGTCGGCAGTGCCTGTGTTTGGGGTCGGCAGAGGCTGTGTTTGGGGTCGGCAGTGCCCGTGTTTGGGGTCGGCAGTGCCTGTGTTTGGGGTCGGCAGTGCCTGTGTTTGGGGTCGGCAGTGCCTGTGTTTGGGGTCGGCAGTGCCTGTGTTTGGGGTCGGCAGTGCCAGTGTTTGGGGTCGGCAGTGCCAGTGTTTGGGGTCGGCAGTGCCAGTGTTTGGGGTCGGCAGAGGCTGTGTTTGGGGTCGGCAGTGCCTGTGTTTGGGGTCGGCAGTGCCTGTGTTTGGGGTCGGCAGTGCCTGTGTTTGGGGTCGGCAGAGGCTGTGTTTGGGGTCGGCAGTGCCCGTGTTTGGGGTCGGCAGTGCCAGTGTTTGGGGTCGGCAGTTCCAGTGTTTGGGGTCGGCAGTGCCCGTGTTTGGGGTCGGCAGTGCCCGTGTTTGGGGTCGGCAGTGCCCGTGTTTGGGGTCGGCAGTGCCTGTGTTTGGGGTCGGCAGAGGCTGTGTTTGGGGTCGGCAGAGGCTGTGTTTGGGGTCGGCAGTGCCTGTGTTTGGGGTCGGCAGAGGCTGTGTTTGGGGTCGGCAGAGGCTGTGTTTGGGGTCGGCAGTGCCAGTGTTTGGGGTCGGCAGTGCCTGTGTTTGGGGTCGGCAGTGCCCGTGTTTGGGGTCGGCAGTGCCTGTGTTTGGGGTCGGCAGTGCCAGTGTTTGGGGTCGGCAGTGCCTGTGTTTGGGGTCGGCAGTGCCCGTGTTTGGGGTCGGCAGTGCCAGTGTTTGGGGTCGGCAGTGCCAGTGTTTGGGGTCGGCAGTGCCAGTGTTTGGGGTCGGCAGAGGCTGTGTTTGGGGTCGGCAGAGGCTGTGTTTGGGGTCGGCAGTGCCTGTGTTTGGGGTCGGCAGAGGCTGTGTTTGGGGTCGGCAGTGCCTGTGTTTGGGGTCGGCAGAGGCTGTGTTTGGGGTCGGCAGAGGCTGTGTTTGGGGTCGGCAGAGGCTGTGTTTGGGGTCGGCAGAGGCTGTGTTTGGGGTCGGCAGAGCTGTGTTTGGGGTCGGCAGTGCCTGTGTTTGGGGTCGGCAGTGCTGTGTTTGGGGTCGGCAGTGCCTGTGTTTGGGGTCGGCAGAGGCTGTGTTTGGGGTCGGCAGAGGCTGTGTTTGGGGTCGGCAGGCTGTGTTTGGGGTCGGCAGTGCCTGTGTTTGGGGTCGGCAGAGGCTGTGTTTGGGGTCGGCAGAGGCTGTGTTTGGGGTCGGCAGAGGCTGTGTTTGGGGTCGGCAGTGCTGTGTTTGGGGTCGGCAGTGCCTGTGTTTGGGGTCGGCAGTGGCTGTGTTTGGGGTCGGCAGAGGCTGTGGATTTCAAGGTAAGAATCTGTGGGCAATTCCTTCCCCGTTTGTGTCCTTTACTGTCGGTGCTGTGTGTGTGTTGTTGTGAGTCCCGAATTGTGTGATGAGCGGCAGTGGCAGTGCCCAGAGGTTGGCAGTGCCCAGAGGTTGGCAGTGCCCAGAGGTTGGCAGTGCCCAGAGGTTGGCAGTGCCCAGAGGTTGGCAGTGCCCGGAGGTTGGCAGTGCCCGGAGGTTGGCAGTGCCCGGAGGTTGGCAGTGCCCGGAGGTTGGCAGTGCCCGGAGGTTGGCAGTGCCCGGAGGTTGGCAGTGCCCGGAGGTTGGCAGTGCCCGGAGGTTGGCAGTGCCCAGAGGTTGGCAGTGCCCAGAGGTTGGCAGTGCCCAGAGGTTGGCAGTGCCCGGAGGTTGGCAGTGCCCGGAGGTTGGCAGTGCCCGGAGGTTGGCAGTGCCCGGAGGTTGGCAGTGCCCGGAGGTTGGCAGTGCCCAGAGGTTGGCAGTGCCCAGAGGTTGGCAGTGCCCAGAGGTTGGCAGTGCCCAGAGGTTGGCGGTGCCCAGAGGTTGGCAGTGCCCGGAGGTTGGCAGTGCCCAGAGGTTGGCGGTGCCCGGAGGTTGGCAGTGCCCAGAGGTTGGCGGTGCCCAGAGGTTGGCAGTGCCCGGAGGTTGGCAGTGCCCGGAGGTTGGCGGTGCCCGGAGGTTGGCAGTGCCCGGAGGTTGGCAGTGCCCAGAGGTTGGCAGTGCCCACCGGCCATATCCCCCCATCGCTCTCACTGCTCCTCAGCGATCATTTACAATGTCTCTCTGCAATGTAATGCGCTGTGAATCTGCTCTGAGTGTTACCCGTAGACAGTCAGTCAGGAATCACTGCAGACTTTGTCTCTTATAATAATATATTAATATTCCTGACTTTGATATAGATCCTTGTCCCGTCATTGAGATGTCTCAAAGGCTTCGCAGAACATAGTGTAAAGTAGGTTGACTTGTATTTTGTGAGTAAAATGCGGCAGCCAATTGAGCACAGCAGTGCTCCACAAAGAGTGGTGGATTGAGTGACCACATTTTTTTTTGAGGGACTATTACCCCTGGAAAGTGATCCGCTGATCGGTAACTACCTACTTCTAGGTAAACAAAGGCGTGTGGAGAAAGGAGACTTGCCTCAGGTCACACCCCGCCCGGGAAACAAACCCTGATCTTCTTGCTTGTGGGGTGAGCGCACTAACCGCTAAACTACATGACTCTTGTAATTTACAGACAGCCCTCTCCTCCTCCCCATTCCCACCCCCGACACACGCACACTCAGAAGGGGGGATGGTGCAGGAGGAGCTGAACTTGGGTCTTGATGAGAATAAAAATTCTTGCATTTGGTAGAGCAGAGATGGGTGGGTCACAAATCTCTCAGAGTACTATAGCGGATTATATTTGTTATGATGAACCTTTATATAAAGCACTGGTGAGGCCTCAGCGAGAGACTGTGTTCAGTTCTGGGCCCCACACTTGAGGAAGGATGTCAAGGCATTGGAGAGGGTGCAAAGGAGATTTACCAGAATGGTACCAGGAATGAGGGCTTCAGTGATCAGGAGAGGCGAGAGAAGTGAGGGTTATTCCCCTTGGAGCAGAGAAGGTTAAGAGGAGACTTAATGGAAATTTTCAAAATGATGAGGGGATTCGATAGGGTGAACAGGAGAAACTATTCCCACTGGCGGTGGGTCGGTAACCCGAGGACACCGATTTAAAATAGTTGTTAAAAGAAACAGGGGGGGGGGGGGGGGGGGAGAAATGTTTTCACAGCGAGTTGTTGGGGTCTGGAATGCATTGCCTGAAAGGCCGGTGGGAACCGATTCGATAACAGCTTTTAAGAGAGAGGTATACATTAGAATATACAACACAGAAACAGGTCATTCGGTTTGTTCTATGTTCTATGCCGGTGTTTATGCTCCACATGAGCCTCCTCCTGCCCTTCCTCAACTAAGCCTTCAAGCATAACCTTCTATTCCTTTCTCCCTCATGTACGTATCTAGCTTTCCCTTAAATATATCTGTGCTATTTGCCTTAACAACTCCTTGTGGTAGCATGTTCCACATTCCACTACTCTCTGTGTGAAGAAATTTCTTCAAAGTAGATAAATATTTGGGGAGGACAAGCTTATGAGGAGGGTGTTTGAGTAGTTGAGGTGGGAGGTGACAGGCTTGGATGAGGGTTTTGGCAGCTTTTGGAGTGAGGCACAAACGGAGGTGGGCAATGTGGCAGAGGTCCTCCTGACATGGAGGGCACTCTCATGTCTGCTGAGTGCTTTCCTCTCAAATGCTTCACCAGGAGCACCTGTGTGCACACAGGAGAGAGAGAGAAGCCACCAAAAGTGAGTGAGAGAGAAAAAACTTCACCTTGGCGTTGACTAATTGTTTCCAGTGTTTTATTGAATAAACATCAATTTCATATTTTTGTATTGGGGTATTTCATCATTATTTATCAGTTAAAACCTGTATCAAATGCAAGGCTTATTTTATTACAAAATTTTAAACTGTCGAAGCATGGATTTGTTACAGCTTCATTATCAAAAAGTATTGCTGACTTTCTAGCTGACAGTTTTGCTTCTTTCCCTATTCAGAAAAATCTGCAGGAGAAGCCGCAACTTCGATACACTGAAATTTCTCCCAGGTAATGAATGCAAAGAGAATTAAGTTGTGATCAGTACAATTAAAACTTTCCGATGTTTGTGTTGTACTTAATGACTTGTAAGAATAATGACTTGTAAACTTAGGAGCATATTTGGCAGGAATGTAAACAAGAACTGTTTTTAATATGGTAAAACAACTCTCAAAATATTTGATTGCCCCGGGGATAAATGTTACCTAATCTCAGCTGAGGAAGCTTTGTTCAGTCGGTGGCTGAGCCTTCAGGAACACTTGGAGTGAGGAAAACATGCAAACTTTTCCTGACGCTATCCAAAAAACCTGGAAGAGGCATTTTTAGACAGGCCTTGGCTTGACTTGTAATTAAACTTTTGTTTTGTAAAGGACATTTTTGAAACATTCTCTTTCAGAACTCAACCGCCTCCCAGTCTCCCAGTTGGACCCAGCCATAAATTATCAGATAACTATTACTGTTTGAGGGATGGTCGCCGTGAGTCAGTTCCTCCGGTCATTATCTGGTCATCACAGAAAGCTCTAGTAGCTGGGGCTCAGGCCGACAGGTTAGTGCTGAGTGTTTCACTGCATAATAAACATCTTTGAGGATTTAGTCCAATGTTGAAAAATGTATTTCGAATGAGGTGTTAAACCGAGGTCCCGTCTGCCTGATCCCGCGACACTAAGCAAAAAGAGAATGAAGTTTCTAATGGTGTCCTGGCCAACAATTCCCCAAATAAAATTTGTCACTTATTCCATGGCTGTCTGTGGTACATTGCTGGGTGCATCTGACTCCCACGTTTCGTCCACAAAATGCACAAAATGTTAATCCACTTTACAGTATATCCTGTGAAGCGCTTTGAGATGGCTTGATGATATAAGGCGCTATATCAAATGCAAGGATTGTTATATTCAGAAGGAATGTGTTGACCCTGTTCAGGACATTTGTTTGGCCACAGCTGGAGGAATGTGCACAATTTGGGGACTAAATTACAGTAAGAATATAACAGTAAGAATGGAAATGATACAGCATAGATTCACTAGGATGTTACCAAGGAAGAATGGTTTCTATTATAATAATAATCTTCGCATTCGATATAGCGTTTTTCACGTCTTCTCGACGTCTCAAAGCACTTCACAGAATAAAGTGAATTGACTGTATATTTGTGAGCAAAATGCGGCAGCCAATTGCGCACAACAGCAACCCCACAAACAGTCGTGGATTGAAATGACCAAATTATTATTGTTTTTTGAGGGATTATTATCAGGTGTGTGGAATAAGGAAACTTGCCCAAGGTTTCACCCTGCCGGGAATCAAACCCAGGTTTCTCGCTTGCAAAGCGAGTGCTCTAACAACTGAGTTACAGGACTCCACACAATTATGTAGAGGGACTCGAAAAATTAGAGCTTTTTTCCACTTGGAGTTAGAAGATTAATACGTGACTGAAGTAATGTCTACAAGATTATGAAGGGTTATATATTTTTTGGTGAGACAAGTGTCTGCAGGTGCCTTTGGCTGGGACGAATCCTTGCCCCCGGGTCCTACTGATGAGCCAGGCAGACTGATTTGTCATAAGCAGTGCTTTGGAGATCTGCTTGGCTCAGGAACTACAGCAAACTTACAACAACAAATTACATTTCAAAAGCGCCTTTCATGTTGCGAGGACGTCCCAACTACTGAGAGAACCATAGAGGGTTGGTTGAAATCTGACATGCTGATGCCGAGTACATAACTCTGGAGCTCAGCTCCAAGACCACACTTATCTCTGCCCCCACCCATAGCCCCCTCTTCCTCTATCAGAGTTAGAGAGGCTGCAGTGCAGATTCACTAAGATGAGACTTGGTACATGTGACAAAATACTTGTGGAGCATATTGTCTAAATCGTTTTTTTTGTGCATTGAAGCAGAGGAGGAGGTTGAGGTGAATCCATTTAAGATTCCTAAGGGGCATGAAGCAGTAAATAAAGAAAACTTCCTTTAGATTAATAACAATTCCTTCAAAACAATAACAACAATAATTTGGTCACTCAATCCATAACTATTCATTGGCACTGTTGTGTGCAATTGGCTGCCATGTTTGGCCCACAAAATGTACAGTCAATTCACAGTATATTCTGTGAAGAGCTTTGAGGCATCTCGAACACGTGATAAGGCGCTATATAAATGCAAGGATTATTATATTATTATTAGTTGGGAAATGGGTAACCAGTCTCAGGTTTGTTAGCAAAATTTAGAAGGAATCTCCTCCCTCAGGAAGTTGTTAGGGTGTTTATGACAATGACAACTTATGGCTAAATGGCTATTGAAGCTGGAATCATTCAAAATGGAAATAAGTGGAATCAGTGGAATCATTCAAAATGGAAATAAGCAAGTGAGGGCTCAAACCTGTACTTGTTGGATGTTAAATGATTCCCCAGTGATTGTTCTCCTTTGCATGGGGAATAAAATGGAATCCAATCCCCAACTTGTGACCTAACAAATGTCCTAAACAATTCCTACAGATTTTTTACACTTTTACACTGATAATAACCCTGTTTCTAAACCCCAGAATCCTTTTTTGATAGCTGTTTCTTCTCGCTTTTCCATGTTTTAGTGATTTATAAAAACATAAATTTACAGCGCCCCCAAGGCCCATTCCCAGCTCTACCTCTCACAACCTCCAGATCATACAGAACACCACAACTGCATTTTCTCCATCAATGGACTCCATGAGCCCGTCCTCAAAACCCTTACCCTTTTGTTTCCCGCTTGACTTTGCAAATTAAATCCTAACCGTTCCAACAAATATAAACTCCAGCTAATACAAACCTCCACTGCCCACATCCTCACCCGCACAAAATGCGCAGCCATCACCCTATTTCTCACCAGATTTCACTGTCTCCCAACAGATTGACTTTAATGTCCTCACTCTTACCTATAAATCCCTTCACACTATCCTTCTCACTCTGAACTTCTTCTATCCCAATCCTTTGCTCGCTTTCTCTGGTTGGCTGCCTCAGGCCTGCTCCACATCCCGCCACCCTCTCTGCCCTACCATCGGTGACAAAGCTTTCAGTCACTACACCTGTAACCTCTGTAACTCACTCCTTTACCCTCCACCTTGCTCCCTCTCTCTATTTTTAAATCCTGCCTTAAAACCTACCGCTTTGCACCTATGTAACCTTCTTCCTTACAATAAGATGCATTTATATAGTGTTCTTCATGCAGGGTAGCGTCTTAGATTACATACATTGTCTCCGGCCCCACTTCTCCCTTAGACTCAATCTAACATGGTCATTCTAAGACATTATCCTATGTGAAGTGCATGTTAAGCTATTGCATCCCTGAATGCACCTGAGGCTACCTACTTACCCCCACTATCTCCCTCCTAGTCACTCACTCTGTCTTTGGAAAGTGCTTTGAGACATTCTCCCTGCATGAAAGGTGCTGTATAAGTGCATAATTGTTGTTGGTGTCAAAAGTGGTTAAGCTAATTATTTCTATTGCCTTTTAATTCCAAACAGCCAAAAAACTAAAAAGCCAGTTGTGCCTGGTCAGCCGGTTATTTTGGAACTTTCTAAGGACCAGCCGTATCTGTGAGCTGGAAGCCAGATGGGTGGATTGACCCGAGCAGTCCCCTTATCTACCTTTTGACTGAAAAGGGGTTTATGGAGAAGCAGCATACAGAACCCTTGGTGTATAGCTTTGTGTGGATGTACAGATACAAAATGGAAAATTTATTAAAAAAAATTCTGATGTAAATGTGTTCAATAAACTACCATTAAAAAGTGGTGTTTAAAGTTTTTTCCTTGTTGCTGTACACCTGAAAATATTTTTTATTGAATAAAATCTAGAAGACAATTGTTTTCCAATTCCTAAACCTCTTGTGCTCATATGATAGGGTCACTTTTGTAAATTTTGCTACCTGCATTCTCAGCTGGATCCTAACATTATGGAAAAGGTTTTGAGACATTTATTCTATGGGGCGGACACTGTACACTTTATCATTAAATCACACCAGATTCAAAATGGGACTTCTTAGCAAGTTATTCATTATCCTGGATAACCTCATGCTGCCAAGCCTTTGAGATGCCCACCTGACAATGCAGGTACTATATAACCAGCTGCTATGTTACTATATAATCTGCTACTGTGTGATTTTGTATAAGTGACAATATTTTTAAAAATACTATTTCCAAAGAAGCGCTGGGCTGTAATTCCAGGTCTGACCAACTGAAATTACTAATAGCCAGGTTTCAAGTTTACTATCACTTCCTAAAGTGATGTTCTTAAACTTGATTGGCATATAAAAGTAAAAATAAAATGTTTCTAACCATCCTAACTCTTAATTGTCAGATTAGTCACCAGGCATTGTGAGACAGGAGCACAGACTAGGTATCAACAACAACAGCAACAACAATAAGATTACATTTGCATAGTGCCTTTCAAGTTGGGAGGACGTCCCAAGGCGCAGGACAGTGTATAGCATATCAATGCTGCTAACCCCTGGTGGCATGTTCTAGTTGTAAAAATTTTGTTAAAACATGGTTGGTTTCCTACTTATCCACCTGGAACATGAGGCACTAAAGTTATAGGAACAATCGTTAATGATACATTTTCAAATAACTGCCATTTTACAGCATTGTGTACATAAAAGAAATTCTCCCAAAGTCTTTAACAATGTGGGCATTGACTCAATGACAACAACAACAAGATTCCATTTATAGAGCACCTTTCACGTCGGGAGGACGTCCCAAGGCGCTGGACAGTTGGGTCGGGACCCGAGCAGGGGGGAAATGGTCAGGGTGAGGGAAGGGAGGGAGCGAGGAGGGGGGAAATGGTCAGGGTGAGGGGAGGGAAGGGAGGGAGCGAGGAGGGGGTAGAGAGTCGAGAGGGGAGCTGAAGGCTCGGCTGAAGGTTCCTGACCGGCTTTGAGAGGTGGAGAGTGCAGCCTTGGATGCTGATGAAGTTAACCCCATGTCTGCGGATGATATCACCACAGGGGGAGCATACAGAGGGTAAAGAGGAGGGGACCGAGGGCAGAGCCCTGAGGGACACCGCACGAGACAGTGCGGGGGGTGGAGGAAAAGCCGTTTGTGGAAACAAAGTGAAGACGGTGGGAGAGGTACAACCTAAACCACTCAAGGACAGTGCCTTGAAGGTTGAGGTGGGAGGACAAGCGGTGGAGGAGGATAGTGTGGTCCACCGTATCGAATGCGGCCAATTGGTCGAGGAGGACGAGGAGACAGAGGGAGCCCTGGTCACAGATGGTCAGGATATCATTGGTGACCTTGACCAGGGCAGTTTCTGTGCTATGGGCAGCACCGAAACCCGACTGAAGGGGTTCGAATAATGAATGGGTGGAGAGGAAAGAGCGCAGTTGGAGGCCACAACTTGTTCCTGGACGTTGGACAGGAAGGGGAGGTTGGCCAGAGACAACACTTATAAATCTTGCATTTGATACAGCAACTTATTGTGTTAAAATGTCTAAAAGCGCTTCATAGGATTTATTGCAAAGTTTTGATTTAAAAAAAACTTTAATCAAAGGGCCAGTACTCTCTATATTTAATCTAGAATTATTTTAATCCTCACGGAACAATTCACGCGCACTGCAGCAGCTGAATACCACTGCGAGAATAGCACTGTGTCCTGTAACTGCAACAACAACAACAACAACAAGATTCCATTTATAGAGCGCCTTTCACGTCAGGAGGACGTCCCAAGGCGCTGCACAGTTGGGTCATGACCCGAGCAGGGGGGAAATGGTCAGGGTGAGGGGAGGGAAGGGAGGGAGAGAGGAGGGGGGAAATGGTCAGGGTGAGGGGAGGGAAGGGAGGGAGCGAGGAGGAGGAAGAGAGTCGAGAGGGGAGCTGAAGGCTCGGTCAAAGAGAAAGGTTTTGAGACCGGCCTTGAAGGAGGAGAGGGAGGAAGCGGCGAAGGCACTGGGGGATGGAGTTCCAGAGCCTCGGGGCTGAGAGGCTGAAGGCCCGACCACCGATAGTAGGGCGGTTGGGGCGGGGGACGTGGAGCAGACCGGAGCCAGAGGAACGGAGGGTACGGGCAGGTAGGTAGGGGGATAGTAGGTTGGAGAGGTAGGAGGGAGCGAGGCCGTGAATGGCCTTGTAGGTGAGGATGAGGATCTTGAAATCAATCCTCTGGGGGATGGGGAGCCAGTGGAGGCGAGCGAGGGCGAGGGTGAGGGTGAGGGCGAGGGTGAGGGTGGGAGTGATGTGGTCCCGAAGCCTGGTGCAGGACAGTACACGAGCTGCAGAGTTCTGAATGACCTGCAGTGTGGAGGGAGGGCCGGGAAGGCCGGCGAGGAGAGAGTTCCCATAGTCCAGCCTTGAGGTGACAAAGGCGTGAACCAGGGTTTCAGCGGCGTGAGGGGTGAGGTAGTGCCGTAATCTGGCGATGTTCCGGAGGTGATGGAAGGCGGTGCCAGTTGTGGTGCGGATATGAGGGAGAAAGGACAGCTCAGGGTCGAACAGAGCCCCGAGGTTCCTGACTGGCTTTGAGAGGTGGAGAGTGCGGAGCTGATGGTGTCAGCGCCTGAGGTGCGGAGGCGCTGACGTGAGCCAATCAGGAGGGCCTCGGTTTTTCGCACGTTGAGCTGAAGAAAGTTGAAACTGCAGCGTGTTCACAAAGTCCTTTTTTAATATATTGCACTGACCAACCGCTGAAACATATGGAAGTATATGATGATATCGTACTATTTAGAAGGACTGAATTGTATTCGGTGCAAGGGTTTAACATTATTTAGATATCCGGATGATCACGAACGATCTGTCGCCGTGTTCTGTGCCACAGATGGAGTGACGGGGAAGTTACTGACATCAGACATTGTTACACTCGGCTCATCTGCAACAGAAAATAATCCATCGTTAAGAAAACACAGGGAGTAACAGGACTTTGTGAACACCAGTACACCAGTGAATGGCAACGCCCGCGGCCTCAAAGGGTTCAGACATTGTTTGTGATGTGTAGTGACGAGTACCTAAAGACTGTAGGAAAGCTTTGTCAAGTTTCATTCAGGAATTTACAACAAACCTTCTGTATCAGTAACAAGGGGCCAGGAATTAAACTGGGTTTGTAGCCCAAAGTCCACCAAATACTAGCCCAAAAGTAGCCCAATATGTGTCGCCAACTATGGCCCATTTCGTTTAATGTTTTTAAAACTGTAAGAAAAAGTCTTCACAAAAGGGGGACATTTAAATTTTTTTAAATGACCACCAGCCACCCGCCCAAAGCCGTTTTTCACGCAGTAACAACCAACACAATCCGCCCAATTAGGCGTGAAGCCGCCCAATCTGGTAACGCCACGTGACCACACGCATCTGACGCCGCTGTACGTGCTGCACGTGCGGGATGCGGCGCGGGCGGGAGTTCGTGTTCCTCCTCCTCGTGGCGGCGGCGCTGCTCAGCGCTACAGCGCGGATACACGGTGAGGCCCGGCCGCCCTCAGGCCAGTCCCGGGGTCAGCGGGTCAGCCCCGGCGCCCCGCGCCCGGGGGAGCACAGCACAGCAGCGGCTGCCGGTCCGAGCCCGAGCCGAGGCCGAGGCCGAGCCGCCCCTTACGCCATTGGCGGTTACTATAGACGCGGCGCCGCCTCCGGTCTGTCAGCCTCGGGGGCACTGTGCGCGCGCCCGCGCGAGTCCGAGTGTGCGTGTGCGCGCGCGAGACTTGACTGACTGCGTGAGTCTGTCCGACCGACTGTGTGTGTCTGACTGTCTGTGTGTCTGACTGACCGACTGTGTGTCTGACTGACTGTGTGTCTGACTGTCTGACCGACTGTGTCTCTGACTGTCTGTGTGTCTCACTGACCGACTGTGTGTCTGACTGACCGACTGTGTGTCTGACTGACCGACTGTGTGTCTGACTGTCTGTGTGTCTGACTGACCGACTGTGTGTCTGACTGACTGTGTGTCTGACTGACCGACTGTGTGTCTGACTGTCTGTGTGTCTGACTGACTGTGTGACTGACCGACTGTGTGTCTGACTGACTGTGTGTCTGACTGTCTGTGTCTCTGACTGTCTGTGTCTCTGACTGTCTGTGTCTCTGACTGTCTGTGTCTCTGACTGACTGTGTGTCTGACTGTCTGTGTCTCTGACTGTCTGTGTCTCTGACTGTCTGTGTCTCTGACTGACTGTGTGTCTGACTGTCTGTGTGTCTGACTGACTGACTGTGTGTCTGACTCTCTGTGTGTCTGACTGACTGACTGTGTGTCTGACTGACTGACTGTGTGTCTGACTCTCTGTGTGTCTGACTCTCTGTGTGTCTGACTGACTGACTGTGTGTCTGACTCTCTGTGTGTCTGACTCTGTGTGTCTGACTGACTGACTGTGTGTCTGACTCTCTGTGTGTCTGACTGACTGACTGTGTGTCTGACTCTCTGTGTGTCTGACTGACTGACTGTGTGTCTGACTCTCTGTGTGTCTGACTCTCTGTGTGTCTGACTGACTGACTGTGTGTCTGACTGATGGTGTGTCTGACTGTCTGACCGACTGTGTGTCTGACCGACTGTGTGTCTGACCGACTGTGTGTCTGACTGTCTGACCGACTGTGTGTCTGACTATCTGACCGACTGTGTGTCTGACCGACTGTGTGTCTGACCGACTGTGTGTCTGACCGACTGTGTGTCTGACCGACTGTGTGTCTGACTGACTGACCGACTATGTGTCTGACCGACTGACCGACTGTGTGTCTGACCGACTGACCGACTGTGTGTCTGACCGACTGACCGACTGTGTGTCTGACCGACTGACCGACTGTGTGTCTGACCGACTGTGTGTCTGACCGACTGTGTGTCTGACCGACTGACCGACTGTGTGTCTGACCGACTGTGTGTCTGACCGACTGACCGACTGTGTTTCTGACTGACTGTGTGTCTGACCGACTGACCGACTGTGTTTCTGACCGACTGTGTTTCTGACTGACTGACTGTGTGTCAGACTGACCGGCGTGTGAGTCGGGCTGACCGGCTGTGTGAGACTGACTGACTGACCGTGTGTGAGACTGACCGGCTGTGTGAGTCGGGCTGGCTGACTGACTGTGTGAGACTGACTGACTGTGTGTGAGAGACTGACTGACTGTGAGAGACTGACCGACTGTGTGTCTGACTGACTGACCGACTGTGTGTCTGACTGACTGGCCGGCTGTGTGAGTCGGGCTGGCTGACTGATTGTGTGTCTGACTGACTGACTGTGAGACTGACTGACTGACTGTGTGAGTCTGACTTGATTGACTGTGTGTAACTGACTGAGTGACTGTGTGTGAGACTGACTGTGTGTGTGTGTGACTGATTGACTGTGTGAGTCCGGCCGGCTGACTGTGTGTGAGAGACTGACTGTGTGAAACTGAATGACTGTGTGTGTGACTGACTGACTGTGTGTGTGACTGACTGATTGTGTGTGACTGACTAACTGTGTGTGACTGACTGTGTCTGACTGTCTGACTGTGTCTGACTGACTGACTGTGTGTGACTGACTGACTGTGTGTGACTGACTGACTGTGTGTGTGACTGACTGACTGTGTGAATGTGGTGGTTATTATTGTGTTTAATAATAATTATTATGGTGGAGGAATCCTGAGGCTGTTTAGAAGGTGGCCTCTGAGTTAGAAGATTGTGGGTCACTGAGCCGACAGTCCAGGCTGGCACTGGGGGCGCACTGCACTGCCAGTGTCGCTATCCTTCAACCGAGATGTTAAACCGTCTGCCCGTCCGGGTGGACTTTAAATATCCAACGGCACTGTCGACAATCCCCCAGATAAAAAGATGATCATTCACTTCATGTGGGATAGTGCTGTGTGCAAATTGACTGCTGCGTTTGTCTACAAATACACTTATTGGTTTTATCCTGTGAAGTGCTTTGAGTTGTTTTGATGACTTGATAAGGTGATGTAGCAAATGCAAGGTTTAATATTATTAACTTATTCATTACATTTTGAGTCTCAATCTTTTTAGATAACTGGACCTGCAGTGAGGATGAGTTCCTCTGTTGGAATGGCCAGTGCATCTTTACAGCTTTGCCGTATAATGGGAAGGCTGATCGTGGGGATCGAAGTGATGAGAAAAACTGTTCAGTTTCACACTGTGGACCCCGGGGGTTCCAGTGCAGGACTGCTGAGTGCATTACTGAGCACCAGGTGTGTGACGGTCACCAGGACTGTGCAGGTGGCTCTGATGAATCTACTGACCTGTGTAAGGATGAGGGTGGGCCAGGTGAAGACTGCACACAGCTGGAGTTTCAGTGTGATTCTGGCCAATGCATTGACTTCCATTCTGTTTGTGACAACTATGCCGACTGTAGTGACAAGAGTGACGAGGCCAATTGCAGTGAGTATTTCATACTGAAGAGATTGTCAGTCAACATGAAACAACAGTGGATCAAATTGTTGACCTTTTTGATGGCTAATTCTACTTGAAAATAGCCATCTCAAGCAAGATTCATCCTCTTGAGGAAAATAATTTAAAATATTTATGGAGTCTCCTCCAACAACCATTTGGGGAAAGAAATCCATATTCCTCTTTATACGTATTCTCTAACCTTCCTATTTAATTGTACTTATCTTACTTTTCTGCCCTCTTGTTGTGGACTCTGGCCCAGGTTCCACTGGCTCCCCAAAACCGAACGGATTGACTTGAAGTTCCTCACACTTGTGTTCACATCCCTTCACTCTCTGGCATTTCCCAACCTCTCCAACCTCCTCACTCCCCAATCCACCACCCGGCGCCTCCGCTCGACTGGCACCGGCTCCTGCTTGTCCCTCACACCCTCCGCCCCACCATCGGAGGTCGCGCTTTCAGCCACTTCTCCCCAAAACTCTGGAACACGCTCGCTCAGTCCCTCCGCCTTGCCCCCTTTCTCCCCTTTTTCAAGTCCTGCCTGAAAACTTTCCTCTTCGACAATGCTTACAGCCACCTCCCCCCTCCCCCCCGGCTCAGAGTCAGGCTCTGCCACTGTTAAGCTCTGAGACCCTACCCTGCGTGGAGGGCGCTATATAAGAGCAAATTGTTGTTGCCTTACCAACTTCAGTGGTCGAGTTAATCTTATAATTGGTCATATCACAACGCTTCATACCTTGATGATCATTATCAGGTCATCCTCAAACATCTCAGCTCTAACGAATGTCTAATTTCTCAAGTCTCCTTTTACTGAAAACCCTCAACCACTGGTAACATCCAAGTGAGTTTACACTGCCCCTTTTCCATTGCTTTCATAACCCATTGAATAACACTATTTACCACATTTCTTGATTTTAGATCCAACATGTGTATGATTTGCTAATGTTCACAGATCGGAATGAGTGTTTGGAAAAGAATGGAAGATGCTCCCATATCTGCCGTAACCTGCCCCTGGGTTATGAGTGTGACTGTCCAGCGGGATTAGAGTTGATAAATCATTTCATATGTGATGGTAAGTTTGTACACAATTTGGTGTAATTTTTTTTGGTGGGGGAAATTAATTTGAAGTAATTCAGATTTGTCTGTGTGTGGGGGAGGGAGTCTGCCACTCTACATCTGTTTAATTCTTAGTTGGTCCTCGGTCTCAATCTGATCTGTAGGTGCAGCTGGTGTGGCTATCACGCCAGTCATTGTCCAGTCCTCCACTGGCTCCCAATTACCGAGCGAAACAATTTCAAGATCCTCTCGCTCGTTATAATAATAATAATCCTTGCATTTGATATAGCGCCTTATCATGTCTTCAAGACATCTCAAAGCGCTTCACAGAATATACCGTAAAGTGGATTGACTGTATATTTGTGGACGAAACGCAGAAGCCAATTGCACACAGCAGCGTCCCACAAACAGTCGTGGATTGAGTGACCAAATTATTATTTTTTTTTCTTGAGGTAGTATCATCTGGCGTGTGGAGTAAGGAAACTTGCCCAAGGCTTCACCCTGCCGGGAATCAAACCCAGGTATCTCGCTTGTGAGGCGAGTGCTCTAACCACTGAGCTACAGAACGCCACAGGACTTGTTTTCAAATCCCTTCATGCCATCGCACCTCCCTACCTCTCTGACCTGCTTAACCCCCACTTCCCCCACCCGCTGCCTCCGCTCGGCAGGCTCCATCATCCTGTTGGTCCCTCGTCCCTTCCGCTCTACCATTGGTGGCTGTGCCTTCAGCCATTATGCCCCGAAACTCTGGAACGCTCCCTCAATCCCTCCGCTTGCCCCCTCCCCATCTTCAAATCCCACCTAAAGACCTTTATTTTTGATTGTGCTTACAGTCACCACCCCCTTCTACCCTTGGCTCATTGTTAGACTCTGCCACTGTCAAATGCTCTGGGACTCTACCTCACGTGAATGCAAGTTGTTGTTGTATGTAGATATCAGCTGGCTCAGTGGGCAGCGCTTCTGAGTCAAAAGCTCCACAAAAGGACTCATAGTTTAGCACAGGGTGGTCCAACAGGCGGACCGAACCCAGTCCTACGGGCCATTTTAATCACTCTCGCTCTCGCACTCTCTATCGCACTCTTAAATAAAATAATAATTTGGGCCCTGCTGTGCGTAATTGGCTGCTGCATTTCGCTACAAAATGTACATTCAATTCATTTTATAGCATATTCTGTGAAGCTTTTTGAGACGTTTCGAAGACATGAAAAGACGCTATATCAAATATAAGGATTATTAAAAAAGTGATTGAATGAGAGAGAGACAAGGGAGAGATAATTGAAAGAGCGAGAGAGGGGCCAGAATGATTGAGAGAGAGCGAGAGCGTGAGGGGAGAGAGAGTAGAAGTGAGAGCAACATTTTGTGGTTCGCTGTCAGGACAGATGACTGGAGCCTCTCTCGGCTGCCCGAGGGTGAGGACAGGCACAGAGCACCATGCGGTGCAGTTTCCTGACAGAAAGCTCCCTCTTTCCCCAGTGAGTAACTCCTCTTATGTTTTTCATCCCATCTTACCCCTGCAATCTCCCATCCCAGCTGTTTCCTTTGCCCACAAACACTAGCTTGCGTCATGTCCCCCCTGCCCCACCATCGCCATTTTGCCCCCACTATCTGGAGCTGCATTCCCAGAGTCCCTCTGACTCGCTTGTTCCCTCACCTCTTTGAAGGCACATCAAGACCTAACTCTTTGACCACACTTTTGGTCATCTTTTCCCCTTCCCATCCCACCTCCCTCGGCTCCCACCCCTAGCTCAGGTGCCCAGTCGAGTTACCCCTAACCCAGGCGGAGTTCTTCAGGTGAGATATTAAACTGAGGTCCTGGCTGCCTGTTCAGGTGAATGTTAAAGATCCCACGGCACTATTTGAAAAGAAAAGAAAATTTCTCCCAATGTCCTGTCCTCATCCTCACCTACAAGGCCATTCACGGCCTTGCTCCCTCCTACTTCTCCGACCTACTATCCCCCTACCTACCTGCCCGTACCCTCCGTTCCTCTGGCTCCAGTCTGCTCCACATCCCCCGCCCCAACCGCCCTACCATCGGTGGTCGGGCCTTCAGCCTCTCAGCCCCGAGGTTCTGGAACTCCATCCCCCAGTGCCTTCGCCGCTTCCTCCCTTTCCTCCTTCAAGGCCGGTCTCAAGACCTTTCTCTTTGACTGTGCCTTCAGCTCCGCTCTCGACTCTCTACCCCCTCCTCGCTCCCTCCCTCCCCTCACTCTGACCATTTCCCCCCTGCTCGGGTCCTGACCCAACTGTACAGCGCCTTGGGACGTCCTCCCAACGTAAAAGGCGCTCTATAAATGGAATCTTGTTGTTGTTGTAGTTTAAATTGCTCTTTCACTTCATGAATCTTTGCAGGAAATATAATTTAAGGCAACAGCGCAACCACACTCCAAATAAAAGGACTGAAATGTTTGTGTAATTCACTAATCTGTTGATCTCCTGTTCAGATGTAGATGAATGTAAAGATTCTGACCTGTGCAGTCAGCATTGTGTTAACCTGAATGGATCGTACAGGTGTGACTGTTATAATGGGTATCGTAAAGACTCAGCCACCAGCGCTTGCGAAGCTACAGGCAAGTTGGAATTGTGGATAGCTTTAATGAATTGAAACTGAATTTTGAACGTGGAGAGACTATTTCACATGTTTTTAATCTAATCATTTGTTAATTGATCCATTATTTGATTTGACCAATGAATATTGATAATTATGTTTTTGATTATTCAGTTTTTTAAAAAAGGAAATGATTAGCAGCTGCTTTACTTTAACGTGGAAATGATTAACAAAAGGAACGTTGCTGTAACAAGTGTTTTGTTCTGTCTTAAAACAGTGATTTTTACATTTTATATCCATTAGGAGATGAACCAGTATTGATTTACACAAGTGGCTGCGAGATCAGGAGCATCAGCACGAGTGGAATAGAAGCCAGAGAGTTAGTGCAGAGTTTAGACAGGGTGACAGCGGTTAGTTTGGATAGCCATGCAGCAAGGCTCTATTGGACTGATGTCACAGGCCAGAGTATTTTCAGGTAAATCTATTCCTGTTACAATTGTATTCATTGGCTATCCAGGAATGTTGTTTGGCCACAGCTTTAATTTATAAAAATGTTTTCCCCCACCATGCCCCTCATTAAATCACCACACTGTTTTGTGACATCTGTTTGCTCAGAGTTGAGTTTGGAAAATCATGGCTTGAAATGACCTTTGGTCATCAACCTGCAGTGTTAACTCACTTTCGTCGCTCCATAGATGCTGCCTGACCTGCTGAGTGTTCCCAGTGACTTTTGTTTTTATATCAGATTTCTAGCAGCTGTTATTAAAGGCAAAAGCTATTTTCGTTTTTTTCGTATTTCGTTTTTCCTGGCCTCAAGTTGGAATTATTTTAATTAACTGAAAGTTTAATTGATTGACAGGTTAGTTAGTTAGTTAGTTAGTTAGTTAGTTAGTTAGTTAGTTAGTTAGTTAGTTAGTTAGTTAGTTAGTTAGTTAGTTAGTTAGTTAGTTAGTTAGTTAGTTAGTTAGTTATGCATCTTTTCTGTGGATTGCAGTAAAATATTTTCAGATTCTTTCACTTTCACCACCCAGTAAATCAATAGGCGGAAACACAGAGGATGTCACCCAGACAATAGGAGGTTTGCAAACTGTTTCCGGAATCGCTGTGGACTGGATTTACAACCACGTTTACTGGACTGATTCAGGAGCTAAAACAATCGAGCTCATTACTCTGGATGGATTAAAAAGGAAGACGATATTCAGTGAGAATCTGGTGGAACCTGCAGCTGTTGTGGTTGACCCTGATTCAGGGTAAGTTTGATGTGGACTCGCATTGACTTTGAGTAATCCATAGGAGGCTTGTAGCTCAGTGGTTAGAGCACTCGCTTTGCAAGTGAGAGACCTGAGTTCAATACCAGGCAGAGGGCGAAACCTTGGGCAAGTTTCCTTACTCCACACAGAGCCTAATAATAATCCCTCCAAAAACAAAAAAATTGGTAATTTTTAATCCACGATTGTTTGTGGGACGCTCCTGTGCGCAATTGGCTGCCGCCTTTCGCCCACAAATATACGGTCAATTCACTTTACAGCATATTCTGTGAAGCGCTTTGAGACGTCTAGAAGACATGAAAAGCGCTATATCAAATGCAAGGATTATTATTTTTTACTGGCACCCAGTGGTCAAATGGAATCACCAATATTTACTGGGATCAAATGTGGTTTGATTTTTTTTTCTCCCCTCCTGAAGGTCATTGACTCTTTTGTGGGGGCTAGAGACTTTGTCCTTGGTCCCCTCCTCTTCAATATCCATATGCTCCCTGTAAGAAAGTTAATTGGCGGCCATTTCAACTTGTGTTAGTACAATCCTTCTCACAAAATGGAGGATATATATATAAAATCTTTACTCTAAAATGATTATAGGGAGACCTCTATATCCCAACAGTCCCCACCTTGAGAGTGAGAAAATTTTAATTTACAATCTCGCAATCTACGACCTTGGACATAAACCCACTATTCCTCATCGAGCAACCCCATTGTTGGTGGGTAATTAATTTTGTGACCGTGCGTAGTCGAAGTATTGGCAATATGACGGTAATGGTAAGTATTACTTGAACAATGATAAAAACATGGGGTGCAAATCGGGCCAGTGGGTGTTCACTAATATTGTAAACCGTTTCCCATCAGTGTTGCTCTTCTCCCAAGAGCGGAATAGCTTCATCTATGTCTTTATTGGATTGTCTTAGCTGAATGAGGTGTACCTGCGAAATATGAGAGCTGTTAATGAGGGCAGCCAGGCTTTGGGATATAGGGGGAATATAATGCTCGTAAGGGAACACTAAGCCACGGACGTCCTCACCTTTTGTCTAAGGGAAAAACGTCAGTCACGTTATGCTCCCTTATTGGCTGTATAATAATACCATCGATTAGAGTGTTAAAAAGAGGAGTAAAACAAAAATTTCCCGAGGGCGGTTCACACATCATCTTATTACCAATAACCCAAGTGCTGCTAGTTGTAGTGACACAAAACTCACCCCTGCCTTTATAAGCAGTTTTTGTACCTCGCCATTTTGGGGTGACTGTAATAGAGCACAAGGGGTCCCTATCTCCTAATGTGAATGCACATCTTGTAGTCGAGGCAGGGAGCAGTCCTCTCAGGCACATCCAAATGTTGCCTTGCTTATAGAAATGTGATGTATCAGTTAAATGCCATGAACTGGTCATGGTGTTGTAAAGTAACATAGTGGGATGTGACACATGTTCTTTTAGAATGCCGTCTTCTATCACACCAATAGACGTGACACCATATACCCGTAGGGGCGGGAGAATTTAAGGCTATGCGTGGAATGATAAGGATAACGGGTAGCAGTAATAATTTTCCCAGTTCAGTTCGACGATTGGGACTGTACACTAGGCGGTTAGCTGCTAGTTCTCTAATACGCCTGAGGTCGTAACTAACATCAGGGGGGGAGTCACCGTCGGATCTGTTCTCTGGTGATCATTGAGGGTAACCTACCGGCTTCTAAATCATCAAGGTAATTTTGTAATTTGCTTAGGAATCTAGAGATGAGTATTGAGCAAGCAATACCTTTTCGAAAAGGTTTATCCTTTACTTCTTGGTTATGGTCTGATATCAATAAGTTAACCGAGGAGTTCATCTCTTCTATAACTTGGGAGATACTTATTATGGAATCTACACTCAACAGAGTTTCCTTAATAAGCTTATCCATGTTTTCCCTTTTTGGGAGAGGATAATTTTTAGTTGATTTCGGAGGTGAGCCTGGTGGCTCATAAGGGTTTCTATGTCCAATCAGTTAAAGGTGACTGTTACACTGGTGGATCCTATGCCCACCCATTCAGCTATGTCCCTCTTTACTCTGGGTGATATCACTGTTCCCGTTTCTCCTCCCAAGACTGTACCCTTATTCCTTTGTACGAAATCTCGGAACATTTCTTCCCTTTGCATGTTGTAGAAGTTACTATAAATAGGGTTGCAAACATCTGTGGGCAAAGTTAGGTTAAAATGTAATATGATCGGTACATATTTGTTCACAATACCAGGGTACAATACATTATATAAACGTTAATCACCAGTCCATTTGCTCGTCCTGTAATTAAAGTCGGACAAGATGCATTCCGCAGAGTGACGGGGATTATGGTAACCTTTACTTCTGCGCCGTATACATATGTTCCTTCTGGATCCTCTACTGAACAGTTATAATAGCCCTCATGACGATGAAAAACGTAGGGAAATATCAAGTCTCGCTCAATTGAGTTGTATCTTCTGTGTGGACCCAACATCGGAACACTCCATCTTCCGATAGATGCATCGTTGCCTGAATTCATGTGACGTCGCTGGAAAATTATAGTGGGAGTGCCGTTGCCGTCTGTATTGATGGTACAGGTGAGAGTTAAATGGCTTCCTAACTCTATCTGGACCAGATGATAAGGCTGATGGCGCCCTGTACCGTAAACAAACAGGACCGACGATGTCATCTCGACATTCCGTGCTGGGAACATATCCGGAGGTGAGTATCATATCGTGTTCATAATCATCAGTAACAGGATAATTCCCTCCATAATTTGAACGCGTATTGATTCTCTAAAAATCTAGAATATATCTGTTAGATTATCAGTTACTTTACTGATTTTAATTGGTTAATATGATGCCATTTAGCTGGCTTAACCCTCCTCTTTCCTGTATATTGAATCAAATATACTGAAGAGCTGGCCTTGTCCACAACAGGGAACGGACCTTTCCACTTTGGTAAGAATGGATTTTCTCTCTTACTGAGGTCCAACACCATGACCATGTCCCCAATATTATACTCACATTCTCGTACCTTCTTATCAAAGTACTTTTTAATTTGTTGTTTTTGTCTGCCCAGATTGTTAGCTACAAATTCATTCGTGTGTTGGATATTTGCAAGCATATTATCAACCCACGCTTCGCTGAAAGCCCCCTGTAAGTTCGGGTTTCCTTCTATAGTTGCGCTTGGGGAAAGAGGTTGTAGCAAGTGACTTGGTAGCCTCACTATTCTTCCCGTCATTGCCTGATATGGGGTTAACCCAGTGGCTGAATGTGGAATTGACCTGAGTGCCATTAAACACAATAGCAGCATTTGTACCCATTAGGTGGGGTGATCTGCACAATATTTCTTTAATAGCATTTTAATAGTTCGGTTCCTGCGCTCCACTACACCCGAGGATTGAGGGTGGAATGCAAGGTGTAACCGCTGTTTTATTTCCATAAATGTAGTGAGGGTTTTGAAAACTTTAGCGGTGAAGTGACTTCCTTGATCACTATCGAGAACTATCGGTATTCCCCACCTGCAGATCACCTCACTCAATAGTATTCGTGCTGCGGTAATAGCTGTGGTCACTCTGACAGGAAAGACCTTGATCCATTTGGAAACATTATCTAAAATAACCAAAGCATATTTGTAGTTGCCCGGTGCAATGGGCAGGTGTCCGATAAAATCAATTTGAACATGTGCCCGGCCCGTTCTGCTTCTGGGGCACCTTATAACAGAGCCCGATTAGCAGGTGGACCGGGATTATGCTGTAACCAAACCAGACAACGGTTACCGCGAGCGGTTATATCGTTATTGAGGGTGGGCCACCAGGTGGTGGAATGTATTTTCGATATTGTTGAATTTACAGCCATATGTCCCCCGATTGGGTGAGAGTGGAATAATTGGAAGAAATCTTCCGCCATGTCGGGGGGAACACACACCACACCAGGTTTGTCCATGTCGTCCTGGTATAGGAGGATGGTAGTATATTTATCTTTATCGGTAGCTGTAAAAGTTTGATCAGCCCATGGAGTCGGGGAAGGTAAAGGTTCAGATGCCATTCCCGGACAATCACATATGGTTCTGTGTTCTGTGTTCTGTAGTGATTTGAGATCTAACTTTGAGTCAATCGTAACTGTACAGCATTCCTCGGTCGCTGCATCGCCTCCCCACAATGGGGCATGCAGGGTGGAATCTTTAGCTGCAGCATCAGCCATTTTGTTACCTTCATAGCGGGGTTCGGTGACAGAATGTGCTTTTACCTTGCCAACACGGAGGGGTAATTTGCGATTACTAAGGCGACTCCACAATTCACGTAACAGAAGGTGGTGAGTTAATGTTCGGCCATCTGCGGAAGCAACGTCGCGAGCTGCATACAAGGGTAGCATTCGAACAATATTCACTACGTATGCACTATCGGACCATATATTACATAGGTATGCAGATGTGCAATGTATGGCTTCCACCAGGGCTGCAAGTTCGGCATATTGAGCAGAGGCGGTTGTGCACAAGTATCCGAGTGTTTTATCGGGCATTACAACAACGAAACCTGTGAAGTTTACTGCCATGGTAATATGAAGATCCGTCAGTATAGACATCAGATACTCGAGTGGCTGACAGTAGTGGTGTTTTGGAAACAGGGTGTTCCGGGAATTGTAATAATGGTAACGGACATAGGTGTTGTTTCCCTTCATACTGCAGCATTTGAGGAATTAAGGTTGTCTGCTTGGGGGTGATTTGGATGTCACGTCCCATGAGCATCAAAGTCCAATGATTTAGGTGCTGCGATATCACCAACGTATCCCTTGGTTTCATCAACAGGCTCAGGGGTGTATGTGGGGTGTGTAGGATAATTCACTGTAAGCCTATTATATACGTGAAATGTTTAACCGCCCAGAAAGTGGCCAGCAAATGTTTCTCGCAGGCATCATACTGTTCCTCTACTCCCATGAGGAGTCTCGAGGCATAGGCACTTGGACTAATTATTCCCCTGTGTTCTTGTGCTAACATGGCAGACAA